AATCCTTACCATAGCTTTCTGAGATCTATGCCCCTATCTCTAGTTTAACCAGTGAGGGAACTGGAGCACAGAGAGCTTAAAAAAGAGTCTCAAGGCTACACAGCTAGAAAATACAACTTGAAATCCAGGTCCTCCAACTCCAAATAGTATGTTCTTTCTTTTACATCTCTCAGCTGGGGCAACCCCTGAGACCTGAGCGCACTTTGGAGTATAATCTCATTAGGGAGAGAACCGTGTCTCATTTCATCCGTGTCTTAAGCCTGCACACTCACCTTATGTTGAGTGTGATTGAGCTCATGCAGGAAGGCTTTTTACAATGAACTTGGAATTCCTGGAATGATGTATATGTTAGTGTTCTATTGCTCCTTAGAAAATTACCACAAATTTAGCAGCTTAAAACAACACCCATTTATTAGCTTACTGTTTTCGTAGGTCAGAAATCTGGTGCAGTATGGCTGGAATCTCTGCTTAGGTTCTTACAGGCTGAAATCCAGATGTCAGCTGAGTAACAGTGTTATCTAACTGGAGGCATAGAGTCTTCTTCTAAGCTCGTGTGGTCATGGTAGGACTCAGTTCCTTGCAGATGTGGAATAGAAATCTCTGCTTCCTTGTTAGCTGTCTGCTTGAAGAACCTCTGCTTCTAGAGACCACTCTCATTCTTTCTCACATGGCCTCTTCCCTCTGTCTTCAAACCAGCAACAGAGGGTCAAGTACTTCACACATTTTGAATCTCTTTTCTGCCACCAGCCAGAGAAAATTTTCCACTTTTAAAATTCACGATTAGATCAGGCTCCCTTGACTACTTTCCCTATCTTAAGGTCAACTGTGTCGTATAACATAACAGCATAATCACAGGAGTGATATCTCATGATAGTCATAGGTTCTATGGATTATGGTGTGAATCCTGAGAAGTGACATTTTAGAATGCTGCCTACTACAGTGTGTCTTTAACTGTCTCCCTGCTCTCCCCCAGCATAACTTAGAAAGTAAAGACATGGACATTGTAGTCAGACTGCCTGGGTTCAAATTCTGGCTCCAACAACCTTGTGTAAGTTACTCAACCTCTCAGTGCCTCGATTTTCTTTCTTTTTCTTTCCTTTTTTTTTTTTAAGATTTATTTATTTATTTTAGAAAGAGAGATATATAGAGAGAGACTTCAAGGTGGGGAGGGGTAGAGGGAGAGGGGAGAGAGAGAATCTCACGCGGACTCCCTGCTGAATGCAGAGCCAGATGCTGGGCCTGATCTCACCACCCTGAAATCATGACCTGAGCTGAAATCAAGAGTCAGACGCTTAATTGACCGAGCCACCAAGTGGCTGAGGCTGAGGTACCCCAGTGCCTAGATTTTTTAATTGAAAAGTGTGGGTCTCACTTGTGGTTGTACACTTTAGATGAGTTAATGTGCCAGGAGAATACTTCAATACATTGAAGCACTATGTTGGTCTCTGCTATTACTATTGTTGATCTGATTATAATATATCCACTAATACTGAGTTCAAATTTCTACTCTTTTGGGGGCAGACCCATGACCTCATTTTCCTGGGCCTCAGCTTCATTATAAATTTTTAGTGTTATCTAATTTTCAAAAATGTAATTTATCGTGGAAAAGACACACTTAAAAATTTTAAGTCTCTAACTCATATGGAAGAACAAAAAAATTTTCAAGTAAAACATAACCATGTTTAGTTTGTGAGCTTATTTTTTAAGTGAAGGAAACATAGCAGATTCAGCTAACTGTATTATAAGCTCAAGAACAGAAATATAAAGCCTTAGTTAGTACCATACCTGTTTCTAAATGGGCTTTAATTCCATGTTATAAGCAGGAGAAAAGGGGCTATGAACAGAAAGGAATAGGAAGCTTAGGGAAAGATGTGGCAGCTGAAAGGAGACTGAAAGAAAGATGGAAGGGACGAGAGGAAAGGTAATAGAAAACCATAGAGAAAAAGAGAAAAACAGACAAGAGCAGAGGAAAGACCACTGAGAGCAGAGAGAGCAGATAGGGAAATGGGGGAGACATTGCTAATATTTACTGATTAGCTAGGGACATAAGTTTTCTCACTGAATCCTCAGAACAACTCAATGGAGTAGGTATGAGTATCATCATTTTACGTAGGAGAACACAGTGACTGAAAGAGTCTAACTTTCCAAGATCAATTATATTAGTATACAGAGCTTAGAACCTACATCTTTCCAGAGCACATTGTAATGTGCTGCTCCCCTGTCTGAAGCACAAATGGTGAGATAAAAAATACTCCTCACAGCTTGTTGGCCCATCTTTGAACAGTGTTCACGCCACACTGAGCAAAGACTTCTTGGGTGGGCTTGGGTGTTACTGTCCCTCAAAACTACCTTATGGTGCTAATTACTTGAGTCAAGACATTTGGATCCTAGTTAAAGCAGAGCCTCCAAAGATTTATGCCTCAGGATAAATCATTCTTCTGAGCTTCAGTTTCCTCATCTGTAAAATGTACATTTTGAACTAGGTAAATTGCCAAATTCTAAAAACCTATACTTAATGTCATGCTGCCAGATTTTCAACTGATTGTTATTCTTGATCTCTTCAACGTCTCCTGGCCATCCCTGTTCATGGCAGGAAGCAGTGAGGTGGGAAACAACCTCTGTGGTAATAGCAAGGATCTATCAAAATGAAGTGGAGACCTACCCAATAGCTCTCTTCACATAAGCAAAAGCCTGCAATGTGGGCTGGGGAGTAGGTATATTTTGTTGCTTGAGTTAGAATCACTGTTCAGTTTTCCAAGTTGTTCACTGTACAACCTTAGGAGGCAATATTCACATACGCAGTCCTAGGCCATACCCTGGCTCCAAGAAGCCATTGTAATGATTCACAGGTAGAAGTCAGAATAAAGAAAACTGTAGCTCAGCAGAAAAATAACCAACTTTGTAATGTTTAGAGGTGCCCCTTAACATTGTGAAAAACTTTACCTTTGAGAGTTTTTAGGCAGAGACCAAATGATGCATAAGATTCTACTCTTGAATGAGAGTCTAGAGAGTACACAAGTGATATTCAGGATGAATTTTTGGATGTAGTCAAAGCTAATTGGATGATCTTCTTAGTCTTTAAGACTTAATTTCATGAGTTAATATTATGGCCAAATACTAGTATCTACCATAGAGGGATGTTGTGAGTATCTAGAAGACTGTATGTGTTTACGTACATCTCTATTTCTATCTATTTTAGCACAATGCTCCACACATGTAAAAAGTTCAATATGTTTTAGTTAGCGTTATGATTATCCTCCTTACAACTACTGAATGCTGTTTCTAGTAGAACTTCCTTTTACCTCCATAGGCATGAGACTGCCACCTAGATTTGCAAGCAAACAATGGTGGCACTGCTGCTTTTCATTTTTAACTGTAGGGTAAGCATGTTTAACATAAAGGCTATTCTATCCCAAACTTAGAGCCAAAATTTTGCTAAGAGAGGGAAGTTCCTCTACTTCTAGGCAGAGTGGTGGGAGATGAGGAGATCGACTGTGGACCATTGATTTCAGAGCTATCTTCCAATAACTCTATTTCTAAATTTTGAAAATGGTGCTTCTCCAGCATTCAATACTAGCAAACCCAGTCCCCACTGTGACTCATACGAATTACACAGTATCTGTTTCAAATTGTTTACTCTTGTAGCATGGATATTTCCTTACTCAGAAATTAATCTCATCAATTCAGTTTGAAAATTCTATTGTCAAAAAGCAGGGGTTTCCTGTGGGAGTGTCACTCCTGTTTTTCATGTTGATAGAAGATGCAGATGCACCTGAAAAAAAAAAAATCTATGCTTCTCTTCCACAAGCTGTCCTAAGGAATCACTGCATCAGAACAAGTGGCTAGGGAACAAAAGTGTCCTTGGCTGCTTTATAAGAAAAACACTAAAGTAGCATACTTATGTTTAATGAAAAAAAGCATACCGAGGACAGGCTACAGAGCTTACATTTGTGACTCTTAGTTCACAGTCTCCACTGTGGCTCCATGCAAGCGCATCATTCTTACCTAGAGGACTTTGCTTATGCAAGCCTCCCTCTTCTTACTCATTAATTTACCCTCCTACCTCATCTCCTTTAATTAATTAATTAATCAATCCATTCATTCATTCATTCAGACAGAATTTATTGATTCACTTCTATATATAACTTCATGGCCTGAGGGGATTCACAGTGGGGTGGAAGCCCTAGAAGAACACTGGGACATGTTTTTCTTCCCAGGGAAATCTCTTCTAACTGTTCCAATCTACAATGCCTTGTAGCGGGTATTTGATCTCTTATAGATTTTTATATTATTTACTAATTGTCCCATGTGTGTGACCCTTAGTTCCCCAAACAATCTTCAGTTCTTTCAAGAGTGGGGGCCCTGGCTCTAGCAGCTACGACTCTATGCTGAGCTCCATCTACCTACTTAACCTCACATGTGGTCCTCATCCAAGTCAAGTTGGTTTCTCTCTTTGTTGGGATAACTTGTTCTTTCTCCCTCTGTGTTCTTGTTCAGATTTATGGGGTTAGTGAAAATCTTAATAGAATCTTCCTACAGAATAGTTTTTAGACTCTCTGTTCAAACTCCTGGAGAAAGCCCTTATAAATGGTTGCTGAATCTATGAATACACACAGTATCTATACCATTGCTTTACTTGCTAATACTATTTACAGAAGATTGTTTTTTGATACATTTTATTATTTGCTCACCAGCTCTGAGTATTATTCCTTCCAACCAGAATGAAGACCCCATGGAACACAAGATTTATCTGCATACTCTCTCCTTACAGAGCCAGACTGAATGTTGAACGTAGTGCCCGTCAACAAACACAAATTAAATACTAGTTGAATTTTAGTAAGTAATAAGAAATCTGCAAAGTCATTACAGAAAGCTTGCTTTGACAGCCATTTCTTTCAAGTACAGAGCTTTGTAAAATTATTATTCTCCAAAGGTATAAACATGTCTCATTGATGTGGCAGATTTACTTTCCAAATAATTCTAGCGTTTCAGAGCTTTACCTGAGTCTGCCATCCTCTGCTGCAGCACCACCCGGTATAATCTTCGTAATAAATATGCCAGGGTCATCTCCAATGTGGGGATTATCTGTCCCTCCAGCAATACTGAATCCCAGGCCAGAATTCCCCTGGAGAAACAATAAGTAGACATTAAATGATATGGCTGTCACCTAAACCTAGTTCCCCTTGCACTCCGAATTATCATCTTACTACTCAAATGGAAATCAGGTGATAACAGTCTTTTATACAAAGCTATAAAGTGCACTGTCAGCGGACAAAGGAAGGTCAGGAAAACACTCAAGTTTGTCTCTGTGTTCCAAGAATTTAAGGGGTCTTAATTTTCGCTTATTCAAAGGGCTTTATATTTTTGCTTTTAAGAAAAAAATGCAAAAACATTAGTGTCACTTGTAAAAATTATACATGCATATGAAAAAGAATAAAAGGAAACCAGTTACATGAAAACTGATTTGGTAGAGTAGTGAAATTTGGCTGTTTTAATTTTATTTCTAGTACTGTTATGCATCAAATAAATGTGTTCCTATATAACAAGAAGCTTTAACTTCAGAAGGCAGGTCTCCCTTCTAGAGTTATAATAAATGTGAGATATTTTTCAGTAATAAACAGGTTTTAATTTGCAATAGATATTGACAAGGAATGTATTACTACTGCGGCATGTAAATGTGATAGTTTATATTCTAATAAAGCTTTCATATTTACTCATGCAGATTACAGTAATTGACATCCAATGTATATATAACCTTTTAAGTCTGTATGTAAGGCATAATTAAAGTCTTCCCCAAATTCACAAGCCATCTAACTTAACGTATTTATTATTTACATATTTTCCTTTAATCTACATCTCCCTGGTTACCTTATGTTTCCATATTATGTTCTGATGGTTTTTTCTAATTCATATTATATTTTAAGCCATATCCATACACCTAGGTAGTGTTTATAATTATCCGTTTTAAATGGTTAGATACTATTTCATCAAGGTCATAAACTATCATTTATTTAACCAGTCCTCTATCACTGGGTATTTATTTTCACTACAACCAAGATAGCTTACTAAATTTACAACTACTTGATTAATTTCTGCTCTTGGATAAAAAGAGATGAAGACTAAGAATTTAGTAGTTAATCCAGAAAAATTAATTAAGACACTCAATTAGTCAGAAAAGTTCAGTGTCAAGATAAGATCAGCTATAACTTGACAGTTATATCACTACAAATGTCAAGGTAATGTTTAGCAATTTTTATTGACTGAATAATAAAAATTCCAGAAGACTGATTTCACAATTGTACATTTATGTTGAAAGGCTGAAATTAATAATTCAACCATTACAACTAAAATCCCATGTCTTTATACTTCTGTATAAGTACTTTATACTTCTGACATTTCTCTAATTCTGTTTTTCTTTGAGAAAAAACAATGCTCATTGAACAGCTCTTACTCAGTAGCAGTCATGTAATCATAAATTTATTTAATATTTGTTACACACCAGCACTGTGCCTGGCACCAGACTATGTTCTGGGACTACAGCGGTGAATATGTCAGTTGATGAGGCACATGAAGATGAAGGCAGAGTGTAGGAGTGGCCAACAGAAGGAAACATAGGGACTTTTCCTGAAGGTGAAAAGCAGCTAGTAACTTTTAAGGGGGTCAGGATGGGAACTGGGGTGGAGGACAGAATGTTCCAGTCAAATGAAGAACATATGTAAAATCCCTGAGGTGAGAAAGGGTATGCCAGGTCCAAGACATAGACAATAAAGCTTGAATGAAGAAAACAAAATGAACTGGATGAGATAAGTATTTACCATGAGTGCAAGTGAATCTATTCTTGGCTTTAAGTACCTATTGGTAGGATTGGTTGAGTACTTGTTAAATGTAAGGCTACAGGGAAGCTAAGACTAGAGAGAATAAGACCAGATGATTTCTCCCTTCATGGAATCCAAGAAAGAGCTGAAAAGGCAGTGATAGTCTGGCATCTGGTAATCAATACATTTTCACTGTAACATCAACTACATTGTCATGTATATAGTTACCAGGATAGCATTTAGGTGACTTATGAGGCAGTTTCTCTAAGATCTAGGGGTTTTGGAAGGAAAGAATGGGAAGATGAGTATCTTCATTGTAATTTGGGTCTAGTTCCAAGAAGATCAACTGGAGTATATTGGTCTTACTAGAATCGGCACCTCAGAGATAATCATTTCCTGAGTAAAGGGGTAGGGAAAGAGGCAAGCACAGACTGGGAGGTACACAAATGCTTTCTCCTGACAATATCAATATTTTTGGAGAGGGCACTCAAAACTTTGCCATTTGAGAAACATATTCATTATCTAGCTCTTAACCTTGTCTTCTTCCTTTCTAGCTTTACACTTTCACCCCCAGGAATACTCAGCTGAGCTGCTGGCCCTTTCCTGCACAGTTGACACTATGACTCATCTCTTGGCTTTTACTCATGCTGTTTTCTCTACCAGAAACTTTCCACATCCCCTTTGCCTGGCCCAATTCTTCCTATTATCCAAGACAAGGCTCAGAAGGCCTACAGAAAATATTAAATGATCACTCCAACTCCACTTCTCTGAGTAATTCAGTCCTCTTTTAAGTTTTTAAAGATTTCTGTGCTTCCCCAAACTGCTAGAACTCATACAGGAATTCAGTAAAGTGGCAGGATATAAAATCAATGCACAGACATCAGTGGCATTCCTATACACCAACAAGAAGACAGAAGAAAGAGAAATTAAGGAGTCGATCCCATTTACAATTGCACCCAAAACCATAAGATACCTAGGAATAAATCTAACCAAAGGGGCAAAGGATCTGTACTCAGAAAACTATAAAATACTCATGAAAGAAATTGAGGAAGACACAAAGAAATGGAAAAACGTTCCATGCTCATGGATTGGAAGAACAAATATTGTGAAGATGTCAATGCTACCTAGAGCAATCTACACATTAATGCAATCCCCATCAAAATCCATCCATTTTTTTTCAAAGAAATGGAACAAATAATCCTAAAATTTGTATGGAACCAGAAAAGACCCCCAAATAGCCAGGGGCATGTTGAAAAAGAAAAGCAAAGCTGGCGGCATCACAATTCCGGATTTCCAGCTCTATTACAAAGCTGTCATCATCAAGCCAGTATGGTACTGGCACAAAAACAGACACATAGACTATGGAACAGAATAGAGTCCAGAAATGGACCCTCAACTCTATGGTCAACCAATCTTTGACAAAGCAGGAAAGAATGTCCAATGGAAAAAAGACAGTCTTTTCAACAAATGGTGTTGGGAAAATTGGACAGTCACATGCAGAAGAATGAAACTGGACCATTTCCTTAAACCACACACAAAAATAGACTCCAAATGGTTGAAAGACCTAAATGTGAGACAGGAATCCATCAAAATCCTAGAGGAGAACACAGGTAGCAACCTCTTTGACCTCAGCTGCAGCAACTTCTTCCTAGAAATATCGCCAAAGGCAAGGGAAGCAAGGGCAAAAATGAATTATTGGGACTTCATCAAGATAAAAAGCTTTTGCACAGCAAAAGAAACAGTCCACAAAACCAAAAGACAACGGACAGAATGGGAGAAAATATTTGCAAATGACATATCAGATAAAGGGCTAGTATCCTAAATCTATAAAGAACTTCTTAAGCTCAACATCCAAAGAACAAATGATCCAATCAAGAAATAGGCAGAAGACATGAACAGACATTTTTCCAAAGAAGACATCCAAATGGCCAACAGACACATGAAAAAGCGCTCAACATCGCTCGGCACCAGAGAAATCCAAATCAAAACCTCAATGAGATATCACCTCACACCAGTCAGAATGGCTAAAATTAACAAGTCAGGAAACAATAGATGTTGGCGGGGATGCGGAGAAAGAGGAACTCTCCTATGCTGTTGGTGGGAATGCAAGCTGGTGCAGCCACTCTGGAAAACAGTATGGAGGTTCCTCAAAAAGTTGAAAATAGAGCTACCATATGATCCAGGAATGACACTACTGGGTATGTACCCCAAAGATACAAAGGTAGGGATCCGAAGGGGTATGTGCACTCTGATGTTTATAGCAGCCATGTCCACAATAGCCAAACTATAGAAAGAGCCAAGATGTCCATCGACAGATGAATGGATAAAGAAGAAGAATGGATAAAGACACACACACACACACACACACACACACACACACACACACACACACTGGAATATTATGCAGCCATCAAAAGGAATGAGATCTTGCCATTTACAATGACGTGGATGGAACTGGAGCATGTTATGCTGAGTGAAATAAGTCAATCAGAGAAAGACATGTATCATATGACCTCACTGATATGAAGAATTCTTAAACTCAGGAAACAAACTGAGGGTTGCTGGAATGGGCGTGGGGTGGGAGGGATTGGGTGGCTGGGTGGTCGACATTGGGGAGGGTATGTGCTATAGTGAGTGCTGTGAATTGTGCAAGACTGTTGAATCACAGATCTGTACCTCTGAAACAAATAATGCAATATATGTTAAGAAAAAAAAAATAAAAGAAGAAGATAGCAGGAGGGGAAGAATGAAGGGGGGGAAATTGGAGGGGGAGATGAACCATGAGAGACGATGGACTCTGAAAAACAAACTGCGGGTTCTAGAGGGAAGGGGGGTGGGAGGATGGGTTAGCCTGGTGATGGGTATTAAAGAGGGCACGTTCTGCCTGGAGCACTGGGTGTTATGCACAAACAATGAATTATGGAACACTACATCAAAAATAATGATGTAATATATGATGATTAACATAACAATAAAAAAATTTAAAGAAAAAAAGAAATAAAATTAAGGGAGAAATGGACGTCACAAAAAAATAAATAATCAGAGATGTGTATAAAGATTTGTGTTCAAAGCTTCATCACAGTATTGTTTTTAATGTTAAAAACAAAACAAACAACTCACAACCTGAAACAAACATTCAAATGATGGAGAAATGGTTAAAAATACTCTGGTACATCTATCTGAATGTAGGATTATTTTGGAGACATTAAAATTGTGATAATGACAATAGGAAATGCTCATTATATAAATGTGAGAGGAAAAAAAGTATATGGAATTTTAATTACAGTATGATCATGGGTGACACTGAAGA